CATTTCTCAGTCTGACTGTCAATCATGCCCTGTGGAATCAGGAAGACAGGATAAGGTCCGAGACCCTCTCATCTTTATAAAGTTTTGTCAAAATGTGTGGTTCTGGCTGGCCAGGGAATTATTGTACTGCATGAGGCCGGGTACAATTTTTGGAGAAAGGAATCAATTTCACAGAGCTTGGACAGGTCCTATCCTGGGTTTTATCTGAATGAATGTGAAGAATAATATCATAAAACCAATGTAAATAATATTAATTTACTAATGAACTAACATGAGCAACTCATGATCATGCAGAATAGTGATGAGAAATGCACAATACATTATGGCTAGGTCTGTAAAACAAGGGAATAATTGATGGGGAGTTATAGCGGCCAGACCTTCCACTCTCATTTGGCACAGATACACACTTATCCTAGGGTTTTGTAACTTTGCTAATTACTTGCATATAGATGATTCACCATCTTTTGAGTGCAAAGACATACAAATAACTGTCTGTCTGACGGGCACATATCTGTGTCAGCTCAACTGGAAGGGAAGCTACGTAAAAAGTTGCTATGGCAACCATGAGCCTTTGTCACCATTTTTGTGTACTCCACAATTGTCCACAACAAGACTTTGCACACGGTATAATTTTAGCTTGTCTACAAATGATGACTTTAAACTTTTGGTTGAATGTTTTGTAAAAAATGTGAAAAAGTACGTGTACATACTTAATAGGAAGCTAAATGCAGGTGCAACTTCTGCTTTTCTGTTTGGTGTTTGGTTTTATTCATCAAATAGAGAAGATTATTACTACTTTGATGTGAGAGGTATTATTAAACCTCCCACATTTATCCATTTGTGTTGTACAAGAAGCACAGAATTGATCCAGTAAGTGCTATAGTTTCTTCAGCAGCAGGTTAGCAGCAGTGGCGGCCTGTGTCATCTCTTTGGGGGCTAATGGACACAGTGAACCATGTGGCACGCTCGAATATGCTGAGCTACATATTTGTGGCTCTACACCTGACACCATAGCATCATTTCTTCGATGACTGGCTTCCTCCTTAAAGTGCTACTGCAAATTTAAAGCAATGAACTAGCAGCAAAAACATTTGAGGTGCTGGCTGACTTTCTAAAGCATGTTAATCACAGCCCAGTAAGAGCGCATCTGAAAGACTACAGCACCCCATCTCGCAATTATTTTAACTGCTGACAAGGCTGCAATTATTTTTTCAATTAGTCAATTAACTTAAAAAAAAAAAAAAGCCATTTAACCACTTTCGGATCAGATGTTTTAATGTTTGTTAATGGATGTATTGATAAGAATATCTTTCATAAATAATCAGACAGTCTGTTTGTATGCAAGATAACACTTAACTGTAAAATAGTTAACAATTATTTAGTAGTCAGCTGGTAACTTTTTAACTAAACATTGAGGCCCTATATAGAGTGAAAACACATAGTGATATTTTAACTCTGTGGACATTGTACATGCTGTATTTTTGACCTTACCAGTATTTTGTATACAGTCCAGTATTAGGTAGGTCGTCATAATGTTATACTTGCTTATTTAAGTAAATGTGGCAAGGCAACTACTTTTGGTTTTAGTTAAATACTCCATATCTGAGCGTGTTAGTATTTGACTCATTTCATGCTTAGCCCTGTCTGTCTGCCATATGATTTGCATTTTTGGCTTTTACAAAACTGAGCCTGAGGTGGTGAGTAGGATCTAGATGTTTGTCATTCTAATTAAATTACTGTGGCATTTAGGAAGTGAGAAATACTGTATTCACTCTAAGGATAATATAAAAAACAATGACAGTATTTTCATTTTTGCACAAAACAACAGCAAGACAAAGGTGCATTTTTGTTTACCATTTCATGCTAAACCATTTAAGATAATGTAATAATCTGTCATTTCTGGATTGCATGACCTAATGTTGTTGTTTTTTGTTCTTGTTCCCTAGTGATCCTGTTCTGCATGGCAGCGCTCATCTTCCCTATAGGTTTCTATATAAATGAAGTTGGAGGCCAGCCGTACAAACTGCCTAACAACACTGTGGTGGGCTCTTCGTATGTGCTCTTCGTCCTGTCCATCTTCTTCACCATAGTGGGACTGCTTTTTGCAGGCAAGGTGTGCCTCCCAGGCTGAGGACCCCGCACCTGCCTCGAACTAAACCAAGGGGCTGTGAATACTTCATGGAATTTATGAAATACAAAGAATCCAAATGGAAAACAAGAACTCTGACCTGAAGCCGGAAACAGGGAAATGATGTTTGAGAGAAACACCATGAAGTGTCTCCGTAGAGAAAACTAAATGAACAAGCGCTAATGAGACATGGGCACTAACATAGGGGGCCGCTGAGGCTCGCCCACCCTGCCACTGTTGATCTTAAATATGGCGTCTCTGCTGTTCTTTTGGAGAGGGTGCCTAATGTGCCGCTGTCATGGCAACCACGGCCACAGTGCTGACGCGCGTTTGTAAAAGAGCGCTCTAGCCCCGCCCCTCTCTGACCCCAGCCCCGCCTCTCTCTGACTCCTGGTTGCCTGAGCACACTTTGGCTCTGTCACGATCGCTCCTGTTGCTATTTTTGGTTTCTCTGAGCTTTTTCTGTGTGTTTTGGTTTTGTTTTTGTACATTTTGTGTTGATGCTTTCACCCCTGCATTTTCACCTAAATAGTTGAGGTTCCCTGAGCAGGAGCCCGTAGAAGGGCCAAAGGGGGTTCAGGATGGGGGCTGTTCTGTCGTGGGCTCCGGGTGTGAAGCTGGTGCAGGACTGCCTCTCTCTGAGCCCAGGCAGCAGAGGGGACCAAGGACCATAAAGGAGGATACCACTAAACACAGGACCAATTTTGCCTGCTGTTATCTTACTACAATAAGGTATTAAAATGTAAAAAAAAGCACATTAGACACTTCATGTCTTTAACTGTGAAAATAAATATAGAACAACCTTTGAATGTTATTTGACTTCATAGTGTAAATCTTGACCTACACAGTGTTTTCTTAAAGGGGCTGAAGTTCTGTGGCTGTGTTGGTGGTATCCTCTTTCACCCTTGAATAAACAGTATGAGTGATGGGGAGTATTTGAAGGGAGTATTTGAGTGGTGTTTTGTATCAGTGAAGGCACTGGGACTGCAGGTCAGGTCCATGGGGCTGTGCCTCTGAAGCTTTGGAGACGTTTAACACAGACACTCTAGCTCTGCTTTGTCAAAAAAAACCAACAACCATAGAATCAGTATTGGATGTTTATCTGTTCATTTCTCTTTTGCCACTGTAAACTCTGGACATTTCTAAGCTGCATTGTCTTGTATTTAATCTTCTGCATCATTAAGACAACTAAAGCCAGAGGTATAAATCATAACAACATCAATAATGCAAATAAATTATATCATTATTTGGGACCCATTTAAATACTGCAAAGTTTGAAAACCCACATCTTACTCTGATGATCCACTAAATATGGGATCCCCACATTTTGGCAGAGCTGGTAGGACCATGTAGTGCCTGAATTTGTTAAACATTTGCAAAGCTTAATGTTTTTGCCTTTGTTTTGTTTTTCAGTTGTTCTCACTGGGTCCAGTGTAAACTGCTAACGTCCTGGTAGGCTGATTATTGTGCCATTACCTGTTTTTGTTTAATAATGTACAGACACAAAAGACAGGATCTGTATTAGGAAGCACTGTGCATTCAAACAGTATAGGCAAGCGAACTAGAAGCACCACAAATGTATAAAGGAGAACTTCTTACCTCATCGTTTAGTTTCTGCTATTATTTTCTAATGGTGGCATTGTGTGCCCTCTAATTTTGTCTCTTGCCTTGATCGGATGTCTACACATAAAGCCTACGATCATAGGGAATTATTTATCACTCAATAAAAAGAGAAAATGGGTGTGTGTGACTATGAAACTGTGGATCATTTTTATTTCAAACATGACATGGCTACATCGTCTTAAGGAATTGTTTTAATTAAGTACAATTCGGTCTCTGATATTTAGATTTATTCTCTTCTTATTCTTATTAACTGAAACCTGTTTTTGAGACATTACTGTGCCTTTTCAGAAGAGATGCTTGATTAATGTAATGTTTAGATGACAGCATAGTACCTTCAGAATAATGGTAGATCTCATAACAATCAAACCCGTTCGACCTGAGTTGGACAGGTTCCTCCAGATGGCAGTGTTGAGCAGGAGTTCACATGCATTAACTCTACTCCCCTTCGTCGTCAGAGCGATGAATATAGGCTTCTGTATTTAGAGTAAGTGTGAGAGCAGCGTGTGGATGATCAGACAGCTAAATAACCATGTACGTAATGTACCAGAGTATCTGCATTGAACATGACTCAGGATTACTGCGCACAAGCCAAAAGAGACATGAGGGTGGACTTTAAATTAATGATGGTGATTGCATTGGATCTGTAAGGATCTATATGTCTGCTGTGTCTCTGTTGTGTGTATAAGAGTGTGTATAGAGAACAGAGGTGACTGGAGTGAAAGACAAATAATGTTAAAAAAAATATTTAAATATAGAACTGGAAGGCGTTTTATAGCCTTGCCTGTTTATAAGATTAAATATGATGAGCTATGTATTCAAATAGCTTCCGTCGTATGTTTCTGCACATTGTGGGTCAGCAGTGTTATTGCCCACCAGTGTAGACCTGACAGATGTTTGTCTCATGTCAGTCTAATGTCTCTGAAGTAAACTGTGTCTAAGGAGTAGACTAATAAGATAATTTCCTATTGTAAAATAAGAATAATTTAGCAATTTTATAGTAGAGAGAGATATTTCTCTTGAATTCCTTACACTTCAATCAAAGGGCAAAGTATAATATAAATCAAAATATGCTAATGAAAACTAGGAATGTCATTCGTTCATTGCCAACTATTACACATACAAAACTTACCATTCCTGTTGGCATTTGTTAATGGAGCACATTAGAACTTTTGTGTTAAACTTGGAACTGAGTGATTCTGATAAAGCTGAAATAAAGAGGGTATTATGGCTTCAATATCTTCAGGCTCCTCCACCTCTGACAGCAGAAAGAGGAGGTGAACAAAAAGCTATTGCGCACACACATTGCATTAAAGATCATACTCAGGGTCTGCTGTGGACTGGGGTCCTTTGCTTTGCTTTGCACTGAGGTGGTGCGTCCTACTGTTGTTCTTAAAATGATGCCCTTGTTGACCCAGATCTCCTGCCAGCTGTGCTTAGTTTTACCCTTTAGCTTTAACTGCAAAACTGTAGTAACATCAGCATCAATGTCTAAGCACTCTTTACTGTGGACTTCAACGAAATAAAAACAACACAGAATGAAACAAAACATATTTATTTAAGTTCCAGTATAATCATTCATAACTTTTATTAATATGTGGGTAGGCTATGTGATAATAACAATGTGTCTTCTACCCCAACTAATCATGGCGCCCCTGTCCTGCTTTATCGTTTTGACCTCATTAAAGTTTTGATTGCACATTAACGATTTCACTTACTTCTATTTCTATATGTTTATATAAACAGTAATGACCAGGTCATTTTAACCAAGTAGTTTTCATGTGATGCCCTGGGACACCTGACGCTACACAGGTAAGGCGCGCGCCAATCAGAAGCGCGCGCAGGTGCCTGGCCCTGTCGCTCGGATAAAGATCAGCGGGACCTGTAAAAGCGACATGCACGAGTCCTCCTGAAAGGTACACCACATGAACGTGAGGCTGATGGAGGTCTGATACGGTAAGTCAGCAGTTTCTGAACTTCTCGTGTCTTATTGTATGGACTACTTTACTGTATTTATAATTTCGACTATAGGCCTATGGTTCACCAGATATTCCCAGCTTTTATTTTAATATTTAGCTATCCCCAATTCAAATATTCCGAAGAAATAAAATTTATTAAAATTGCAGAAGAGTTGTTAGTATCACCAGAAAAGTTATGTCGCATAGCTATGCTTACTCCTGCTGTTTCCTTCTTTACTTTGCTTTTTATAATCATTTTTCCTCTTCCAACACCAGATAATGTGTCTACTTATGATTTTCGTTCAAGTAATCCAAGACTTTTAAGACATTTTACATTTTTAAGCAAATCATCACGTGTCCTACCACAACTATGCAGATAACACTCAGATCTATGTCTCACTGGCAGCAGGGGACTATAGACCTTTGGGGTCATTCTGCTACTGCATCTAACAGATCAGTGTGTGGATGCAAAACAACTTTCTCCAACTAAACTCTAGTATTTGGCCCACAGAAACAAAGAGACAGTGTCATCAGTCACCTCCAGTCTCTCTCTAAAACCTTCAAATCAGGCAGCAAGAAATCTAAGGGTAATAATGGAGTCAGACTTTTACAGCCACATCAAATAAATAACATCTGCAGCCTTTTAGCATCTAAAAATCATAGCAAAAGTCAAAGGAGACTTGGAGAAACTTATCCATGCGTTTGTCTTCAGTAGGTTAGTTACTGTATCGGCCTCTCACTGTGAAACAGCTGCAGTACATCCAGAATGCTGCAACTCGGGTCCTGGCTAGAACACGAAGCATGAGCACATAAGTCCTGTGCTCAGGTCTCTACACTGACTCCTGTGGCTCAGAGAATAGACTTTAAAGTGGCTCTCCGTGGTCTAGCACCAAAGTACACCTCTGACATGTTAGTGCCATTTGAATCATCTCACAGTCTGAGGACCTCAGGGACCAGTCTCCTGCAGGTGCCCAGAGTCAGGACTAAACATGAGGAGTCAGCATTTTGGTTTTATGAAGCTTAAACCTGGGACAGTCGTCCTAAACATGTGAGACAGGCCTCTACTTTAACTATGTTTAAATCCAGGCTCAAACCTGTTCTGCTTAGCTGTGCATATGACTGAAAGATTTTTATTCTGCCCTTTCGCCCTTTTTTTGCCTCTCTCTCTCTCTTTAGTTTTATGGTGATTATTTATGTTTTGATTAGTCTGTATTTTGATTTTAATGTCTTTCTTATTCTGTCAAGCACTTTGAATTACTTTGTGTACAAATTGTGTTATACAAATAAACTTGCCTTGCCTAGAGCAGTTTAAGAATGAGAAGATAGCAGATTTAACACGTTTCCCCTGTCTGTAGTGAAGCTGCCTTTAGTTTTTCCACTATTATGGATAAAATATCTACAGTAATATGTTAAATGCACAAGCAGTTAGAAGCATCAGTGAATGGGCAAAGGGTAACCCAGTCTGCTCCAAACCCAGGCTGCTGTATGAAGCTCTATGACCCCAGCATGAGTGACAGGGGCCAGCTCTCACAAAGGCCCTGCCACAGCGCCTCCTGCTGCCTGCAGACCAGCGCACTGCACGTGCACAACCACCTCCAACCATGGGTCAAGCACCCCGCGCCCGCTGTGGCCTTCAGCCCCACTGCGGTGCTCCGCCATCGAGGCAGTGGGGCACTGGGGGCCAGCTGCAGCAGCCCGGACTGTGTGGCCTCCAGGCTGGGTGAGGAGGCCGCTGTGGCTGTGGCACGGCCTGGTTCACTAGAAAAGGTGCTGGTAACTGGAGGAGCAGGATACTTTGGGTTCAGACTGGGCAAAGCTCTGGCTGCTCAGGGTATGTCTGTTGTACTTCTGGACATGAACAGACCTCCTGGAGATCTTCCTGAAGGAGCACAATTCATCCAGGTAAAGCACAACACTGGAATATCAATGTAAATGATACTAGATTTACTACCGGTCCTTAAAATGTATCCCTGTTAAAGACAAATTCTGTAGGAGTGAGTTCATTATTTCATTATTTAATGTCTAATGTTGACTGAAGGCATTTGAAGTGAAAATGAGGAGCACAGAGTTTGGTGCGTGGTTGTCTGGAGAGACACAGTTGAGTGATCGCTGTGAGCGACAGCTGCTGACTGGGTCAGTCCGGGTGGAGACGTGCCTCAGGTTTCACCTGAAAGCCTCACTCTCATCTTAATTATTACTGTGCATTCATTAGAGACGCACAAGCATACCTGTCCCTGAGCCTGGCAGTCAGACTAAATTCATTCATCCTGTTCAAGTGCTGAAGGGTGGTTTAACTGAGGAACAGTGTGAGTGATTTATTTGTAGTTGTTTATTTGGGACTGTGCTTGTCAATCAATAGACATAAATACACAAGTGTGCAAACACTTTGTATTGTAGCTTCAAGTTAATTTCCCCATGAATGAGAGTGTATTTGTAAGAATGAACGCTCACACCCTCATTTACACACTAGTGGACACTGGAAGCAAGGCAGGTGAAGTGTCTTGCTTAAGGACACAATGACAAAGTTTTTACACTGTCACCTTGCTTAACTTCTGAGATCAGACAAGTTGGGCATTCTCAAAGTGGTATGGCCACAGTGACCGTATGAATGTTTAAGGAATGTTTGCCTGTTTGTTCTTTTATTTAGAGTGATATCCGGGACTACTGCTCCCTGTATAAAGTGTGTGAAGGTGTGAGCTGTATCTTCCACACCGCGTCATATGGCATGACGGGACCAGAGCAGGTACTAATCCTTTACCACAGTGGACAGCACAAATGCGGCAATTAAAACAAAAATGGCACGAAACAAGACCTGACGTGACTGAATAATGTGCTTTCCTTTTAACTGGTTCTGGTATTTATTCTATTGTAATACACACATAAAGATTAAGATATTTTATGTATATGTATTTTTTATTAAAGCGTTACGCGATCTGTGTTACTATTCTTCCAGCTTAAAGGGCAACTGGTTGAATCAATAAATGTTGGTGGGACTAATAATGTTATAAAAGGTCAGTATATCATATTTAACATCATCAATTAAAAGTTAAAAAAAACATTAAATAAGGTTTAAAATGCATCTACCTGATCTTTATGTAATTCTGCTTAATGCTTCCATTTAGTTTGTAAAGAGCGCAGCATTCCCAGACTGGTGTACACTAGTACTGTCAATGTGGTATTTGATGGTAAACCCATAGAGGATGGAGATGAGATTTCTGTGCCGTATGTGGCTCCTGACAAGGTGAGTTAAACACACTATAGACTAGAAAAGGCCAGCACATATTTTGGGACACAAACATGAAATCATTTTGTTTTTCCCCAGCACATTGACCACTACTCCAGGACAAAATCTATTGCAGAGCAGATGGTCCTCTCAGCCAATGGATGCTCTATGAAAGGTGCGAAATTATAAGAACTATTGGATGTTATTAGCTTCTATTTTTGGCCCATTACAAACTGTCAGGGTTTAAGAGACAGAAGTTACCATGGAAACACAGCTATCCACATTGTGCAACCCAATATGGGTTGCAGCAATAGTGTAAATTTAGATCTGAACTAAATTGTATCTCTGAAGCTTTGAAATCACACAAAACATACATATTTACATTGATATAAATATTTCTGGGCATATAAGAAGTCAGTGTTAATATATAGAGTAACTTCTGTTATGTGCAGGCGGTGACCTGCTGCGGACTTGTGTGTTACGGCCCTGTGGCATCTATGGCCCAGAGGAGAGGAGACATCTTCACAGAGTAATGGTGAGTATGATGGTACTTACCTCGTCTTGTGCCCCGTCCTGGCAGAATATTTTCTTGCCTGAAGTATCTACATTATTGATGGAGCTCTCTTGGCTCCTGTTACAAGTGGCTTTCTTCCCCTGCACGTTTTCCTCTCCAAGGCCACACTGTCTGGTCAAGGTCTCAACGCTTTGGCCCAGAGTTCACTGTTGGTCAAGCATACTCTTGCGTAGGTTATATTTATATTTTAATGGTGCACTGTAACTTTTCTGACGGAGGGTCCACCCACTGCTTGTCACTATGGAAATGTCAGTGCAAAATTAAGCCCTAGCATCTTCATGGGTGTCTGTAAATAAGAAAAGATTAAATAATTTCAAAAAAAAAAAAAAAAGATAAACATACTTGAAATACTTCTGTGTACTTCTGTGTGTTTTATTATGCATTACTATCAAGTGTGTCTAAACTACTAGAGACTAATAATGACCAATAATGAAAGAAACGCAATCCTTTTGTGTGTACCTAGGTAAATGTGGAGCGGCGCTTGTTTAGTTTTCGATTTGGAAACTCTCAGGCCAGGATGAACTGGGTCCATGTGGACAACCTGGTGCTGGCTCATATACTGGCATCAGAGGCTCTGACTCCACAGAGGAGCTGTGTTGCTGTGAGTCCTACGAGCTTGTGTTTAGTCTTACAGATCATGTGTTTTTGCACTGTTCTTTCACCATGTCAATATTTACAAGCACTTTTTCAAGATTATTAGTGTGTTTATCCTTTAGTTTAGCAGAAATTAGAATTCTCAGTTTCTCAGTTCTCTACTGTGCAAGTCTACAATCACCATGATGCTTTCAGATTACATTCATTTATTGAGAAATATCTGGATGCATATGTCCAATAAACTCCATAAATGTTCAACCTAATAACTGATATTTGTTAAAAGATCAGTTATCATGCTGTATTTCTCTGTCAAACACTACAGGCCTGAAGAATATTACATCATTATGTGAACTTTTGTAGTTATCGATTAGCTCATAGATATAGATCCACTAATAATTGAAATAAATCTGCTTGACGTGTTGTACAGATGTAATAATTGTCTTGCATTTGCATCTGTTGCAGAGTGGACATGTATATTTTATTAACGATGGAATATCATTTAATATATTTGAGTGGTTTGAACCACTGGTAAGGCTGAGAATTTAATACTTTATGTGTCAACATTTTACAAATAAATAATGCCAGTAATAATAATTTTCTCCTCCATAGTTTAAAAAGCTTGGTTATGGCCAACCTGTGATAAAACTCCCCTTCTCAATTGTCTATGCAGCAGGTATCCTTCAACTCTCACAAATAACAAAGCAACTATTTTGATTTAAATATATCACTGTATTCATTATTATTATTATTATTTTTTTTTTTTTTTCAGCAATCCTAGTAGAATATTTGCATGTTGTCCTGAGACCTGTGCTGAACGTGCCTCTGCTTTTAACAAGAAATGAGGTAATTTTCTTGGACTTTTTATTATAATTTGAGGCATAAATTCTGCTTGGTGAAGATTTCTGACTGTATAGGTCTGCAATATATATGAACCATTTAAATAAAGTAATGTATGCGGTTCAATGTACCAACCATGATCATGTTACAGCCATTCGATTCTTGTTTAAGTCTCCTCCACATAGACGTAGTATGGGTATTTTCCTCATGTACGTGTGATGCTATCTCTTGCACATTAATTATGAAAAAACACTTAAAGTTGTTTGCAAACTCAGAAAAAACTCAAAAGCTGAAATCCAGTTTTGCCAGTTTAAAAAATAATTTTATAAAGGAAGTTTTCAAAAATCTCTTAATAAAACAAATTATGTTAAAATGTTTTATGAAGCAGAATTACATGTTGATCTTAAGGAGAAATGTGGTCCTGTGAAGGCTTCATGAATGTGTGATGAGGGGAAACCAAAGAGTCTGTCAGACAGCTGCTGACTGGGGGATCGATGATGGTGCCCTGAATAAAACATAAACCACTGTGGGTCACAAAATAGCAGGAAGTTTGTAGTGAAGTGGAAAGGAAGTGACCTCACAATGGTTATGGTCGTCACAGTCATTGACGTCAATGTATTTTGATACGTCATGTTGAGTGAAATTTTATATTTCGGAGTAATTCATAAATACTGGAATACTCAGGCTTATATATTTAGTTTTTTCTAAAGTGACCAAAGTGTAGCATCTTGAGTTCTGCGGTTTTGGCACAAAGTAACTGGAAGAAATAGTTGAACCTAGTTCAACATTTTCACTTTGTCCTGGTCATGTTAAAGGTTTTTTTTTTTTTTTTTGCTACTTTGAAACAGCTCTGTATTTTTAGCTGTTTCTTTAATTCATTATCAAATTGTACAATTTGTACTCACTGTATTACAACAAATATCTGCATTTAAACAATATTAAGATAAAATTTTGTGGTCGCAAAACATAGTCCCAATGACCACTTTCTCTACATCGAATCACTTCTGGACAAATAAAGGATTACACTGTCTTAGTGCAATAAGATCTCAAACAGTGGGAGGCCTACAGCTATCATTCTGGTGTGTAGTAATATCAAGACAAGTAGCATGTTTTCTTCCTTTGTATTATTTGTGTAATCCCTTTGCTATTTCCTTTGAGTTAGTTATTGATGTTCCCATATGCTATTTATTTTTCAGTAGTGTCAGATTTTCAGCACTATTGCACTAGGCCCAGGTCTGAAGCTGTAATAACACCTTTGCTTTGTATTAAACAGGTAAGAAACATTGCAGTCACCCACACGTTCAAGATTGACAAGGCGCGTCGTGAGCTGGGGTACTGCCCAAAGCCCTACAGCCTTGCGGACACGGTGGATGAATACCTGAAATCCAGACCGACCTCCTGCCCCTCATCTGGGTTCACTCAGCGACACGTCTTGCGCCTCCTGCTGGGCCTTGGCCTCATGCTGCTAATCTCCTGCTGGGTTCTCTGTCAGTGCGCACGATCTGACTAGACAAGTTCAAATGATACTGTGCGGAAACTTCTGCTCAGTCCAGCCGTGTCAAACTCTATCCAATAAAGGCAGGCTATGTGAATTACAAGGGTCAATATAGTTACCTTATTTGTCTTTTGTTCTGAATATTGTAATTTAAACACCATGTCCCAAGCAGGCACCTTTATCCTAGTGTCATAATGTCCCAATCGTTTGTAACGAAGGAAAGAATGACGCCAATGTAAAAGGAATATTATGTCACTTTTCATTTGGTTTTGGTTGTCTGTTTGTTTATTGGCTAATGCTACAAATTCTCACTTGTAAGGCCTTTAGTTTGACCATTTGAAACACCTAGATACGAAATGAAGAATGTTATTCATCACACTTGTCTTTGTTCCATATAAAGGTTATGAAATAATAATTAAATCTGAAGGTATGTCCTTTTTTTGTATTTACTCACACAAGAAGCCATGTGTTACACAGAGTAAACTGGTTTTCGTTCGTAATATTTCTCTGTTCTACAAATAGGCACATCTTTGCATGACTACTGTCTGAAACCACATGGGGGGGCACTAGTGCTATTTCTACTATACACTGAGCATATTCATCTCTTGTTATGGTGTGGTAAGATTACCATGTGGTCTGAAGCCATCATTGAACAGACAATGTAAATTATTCCACTGAATTCTTTATTGAAAGTTGCTTTGGTCATTAGTTGTAGCGTGAATGCTGAAACAAGATAACACTGATATGTGATTTCTACTTTTTCTAACATGATGAATATATTGAATACATAATGCTCAGTAATAATTCACAATACTGTTATGTAGATTTATAAATCAGCAGTCAATATACTGATAACTATTTTCCTTCCTGAGGCTTGAAATTCTAACAATGATTTAATTAATGAAATAATAAATTACAATAAATAGAAATTTAATCTAAAAAATAAATAAATAGCTCTATACAGTATAGTAATTACTACACTGAATTACATAGCACTTATTGCTTACGACTTTTGAGGTTGCACCTACTTACACTTTCATAACGCCCATGCCTTGCTCATAAGCCGACCATTGTGAACTTACACAACTCAACAAATACCAACTGTTATCCTCAACGCCTGACGCTGAATAATTGGCAACAGCTTTTCATTCTTCCACATACAAGACTCCCAAATTCATAACTTCAGTCCATCTACTTTTCTACATAAACCACTTCCCAAAATGCCAACTACAGTATTCTACTGAAATTCTGTAAAAACAAATTTAAAGTTATAACAGCAATTTTGACTTAGATACTCAATAGATTAATAGATGTATATCTTCCCTTAGGAATAGTTAAATGCTATTACAACTGCGTACATTCTCATAAACTACCACAATTATTAAAACTGGCCTCATTTCCTCAGGCAGTGACAGTGCTGCTGACGCATGATCAGTAGAAACAAAACAATTGAAAGATTCAGTGGCCTCATTTGGAGGTCTCCCTGTTGTGACACAGGTCTTGTTTGGTCTTCTGGATGCAGGTGAACAGCTCTTTGAACAGGAGCTTGTATTCAGGCTGGTCCTCCTCACAGACCACACTCAGGTCGCACAGTCGCCTCCAGGAGCGACTCGTTACTGAAGGGCTGGTGGACGTCTGCACGGCCTTATGGGTAAGTCTGTCTGACGCCTGCTTGCAGCGCAGTAGGAGCTCTTCATATTTGGCCTAAATGACATAAACTGGATTATTATTTTTCCCATCATATTTGTGCTCAGCCCGTGCAATTGTAAATGATCAGCTTGGGTTTTGGGGAGAGATCCACATCTCTGTCAGTAAAAGCATGTGGTTTAGAGCAGAGTATTTTGGACTTTTTATTTCAGTATGTATGATGTTCAGTATCATGTTCAAGAAATTAATACTAAAAGCCATCTTTATATATATATATTTGTACAAAATAAAATTTTATCCAAAATAGTTAAATGTCAGAAAAAAGTAGTGATTAAAAAAAAAAATCTTTATAAAAAATGCATTATTTGCTATTGATTTAATAATATCCAACAACCTTCTATTATTTATTCTATTATTCTATTATTTATCCTATACATAATTGCAATGTATGAACTCCAGTTTATTGTTTTTTTACTCACAATTAATGATTTAAAACTAAATTTTATATCGTTTGAATGGTGGAAAGCCTCAAAATGCTTATTAATGGGATGCTGAAACCCATGAATAGACAAACATAAACAGTGGATCTCTAAACCAAGTTTTTGGCCCATACCTGGAGAGCACTGTACTGAGCGTCGACCTCATGCAGCAGGGACATGCCTCTCTGTGTGACCGCCTCCGCCCGCCGCACACACATCTGCTCGTGGCTGTGGCGGAGCTCATCAGTGGCTCTCAGGACACTGTCACTGTTACACCTCGGTCTGCTCAGTTGTTTGTGCTGCTCACTTGAACTCTCCGGAGTTTCACTCTGCTCAGAGCTGGGCTTTTCCTCAGAAGAAAAGAAAACTGTTTCTGGCAACAGCAGCTGCTCTAACCTCCTGAGGGAGAAGAAATTAACAGAAATGAGAAAGTTGTATCATAATATGAAATGTGCACAATGTAGTGTTTCTGGTAGAGGATCTACCACCTGCCTGTCTTCAAAGGAGATGTTAATGCTTTTGGTGGAATCCTCCACATGTTTCTGTAAAGGCGGCTCTGCTCACAGAAAGAATCCATGTTTTTCAATGTAATTGAATAATTGCACAAATGTAATGCCATACTGTGAAACATTCCAGGCAAAGCTATAACATCTCAACATTTTAAGTTAAAACTTTTCACAATACATTTCCATGTAAACCACATGCTAATAGTATGTATGATCACATGAAAGACACTTATAAATAAAATGTATTATCATTATTATAAAACAAAATATCTTACTTGCTGACACAGTCTTTCTGCCACAGACACCTCAGCTGCTCCACCTCAGCCTCCAGCTCTTGTTTCCGCGCCCTGCATCCATCCAGAAGGGCCAGCCGTTCCTCTAGGCTCCTGTTTTCTTGGACTGTGAGTTCAATCTCACGTTCAGCTGCCTCTCTGTAGCTCCTCTCTATGGCCATCTGAGCGTGGAGGGTCTGTATGCAGCGCTGCAGATCTCTGTGCTCCTCCTCGGGATTTGGACACCGCTTTTGTTTTGAGTGAAAGACTTGGTGCGACCAAAGTCCCTCTATGGGGTCATTGTGAATATGTCTGAACAAAACAGAAAAAGCAGGATAGTACAATAGGTGAAAAAGTAATACATACAAATACTGAAATTGTAATTCAGACATCTAACTACACTAAAAATATTATACTTTTATAGATGTTATTGCTTTGCCTATAATGGTCCACAGTATGGGGGCAGGCTCAACTCTCTGCAGATCTGAACTATCTGACCTAGTGGTGTCGCATGTTTGTTCCCATGGAGATAGATAAGTTCAATGCCATACCCTAAACACAAGCAGATGGTGGGCCCTCTACTGGAAAAGTTGTATAGTACACCTTTAAATGGAAAAAGGTGACATGGGCTGAATATTTAGGGACTGATTGTGAACTGTTAATCATGGCAAAAACTTTCCCAAATGAAATAAACTAATGAAATGGTCAACAAATTACTATATTGCTATATTTTATCTTTTACTTTTTGTACTTTTTTGCTACTTATTCTGAATTTATGATTACCATTTATATTGTTACTCTTATATTATATTGTGGTGTGTGAAATACTGTGTCCAAATAATTTCCCTTGTGGATCAATAAAGTTAAATCATTGACTGTAACTCACACACAGGCACATAGGTGACCCGTCTCAGTATCAGTATTGGTGGTGCTTAATAGGATTACATTAATCTTTACTCACACACTACAACCAGGACAAGCATGTTAAGGTCCTCAGTCTGAGTGTAATGGTACTGTGTACACACATTAGCCTGTTGTTACCTATTGTCCTGAAGGTCATACAACTCTTTCAGGCAGGACACGCTCTGTGCCCCCAGCGCACGTCTCTGCTCCCTTTCTCGTCTGTTTCGATCGGTCTGAGATGTTTTGAGCTCCTCCACTTGGGCTTGCAGGTCCTCCATGTGGCTCTGAAGACTGTCAATGGTCTCTGTTAAACTAGAAAAATATTAAGTTATATATTACAAATTAATAGTATAAAGTTATTTTATATTATTTATTTTATATAATAAAGTTTGAGAAACCTTTGTATCTTTTGCTGAGCCAGCCTGTTGTCCTGCACTAATCTTTGGTTTCCCTGCTCCAGATCTCGCGCTGTCATGTCCAACTGCTCATATAATTTGGCATGATGATCGTTCATCTGACGCAACAGGTCCACTTGTTTGGTCAGGTACTGGTTTAGAAAAAGCAAATTATTTAATGTTATGTTTTGTTACACTTTAAATCAGAATAACAGTTTTAATAATTCACAGATAGCAATGTGAATTATTTAGGTCGTCATTAACAGAGTGTTAAAGCCACTGTGGGTCACGGAGATAATCTCTTCGTACAAGAGGGACCTGGATTGAAGTAACAAGCTTTAGTGCTTTCAGATCCTAATCTTATGTTTCACTCAGGAACTGGTAGCTAAAGCTCTCAGTATGTTAAAACAATCAAAATGTGTTATGTATAATGAAAGAATGGATGCTAGCAAGATGAAAATATCTTTTTTTTCTTAAATGTGGTTCATATAAAATGTGATGAATAGTGTCACCTCTATCTCTTGCAGCTGCTCCTGGTTGGTGGAGTACATCTGTTGCAAAGCCTCTTCCAGCTCATGATTCTGGTCCAGGAGAGTTTTACCCAGCTCTGCTGCCAAATGAAGATCTGCACAACAATGTTCAAAATAACTTTTAACAACCTCTCTGTGAATAAACACACACAGAAAAGTGTGTTTGACTGAAGCACTAAGGTGTCTGCAGCTTGACTAACTGCATCCTGTCCTTTGCCCAGCTTCCTCTCTAAACAACTGGATCCGCCAGATCTTGAAATCTAGTAAATACATCTTCATTGTGCAATAAAAATCACATTTGGACAAAAGGATGTATATTTTTCTATTTGAAATCAACATAGTCATGATCCCCTCATCCACATTAGACACAAACAGCAAAGGAAGACTTGTGACAATGTGATACAAATCAGATGACATTCCTCACATTGCTTCCACAGTTAAGGAGCAACTTTCCAGGATGCTACACCCACAGCTTCCTGCTTTGTAACACTTTTCAACATTCAGTCCTAATCATGTAGACTAGTAACCCAATGAGATTTTGAGTGTGCCAAATTCACAATTTATCTCAAGAATTTCGTAATCTAAAGATAGGAAATGCTAGCCTATATAATTGCATGCTTTGGCATTATCATATTTTCTCTATGGGCTACAAAGTTGTGAAAAAGTATGACATTCAGAAGAAGTTATTAAATTAAACTATTAGAACTACAGTCTTAGAAACTCCTTAGTCTGTACAATTATTTAGGCATGAATTAGTCTGACAGTCATGTAAGAGCTGAACAGACCCCCTAGAAGAACAGACATTACCGTGTTCGAGGTCCCTTGAGTTGAACCAGCGCTCTCCATCCTTGTCAAACTCTTCCTCCAAAATCCTATCCGTGAGCATTTTCCAGTCCAACGAGTTGCGTTCAGACTCCACCTGACACAAATGTAACCCGAGATGCGGTTGTTTCAAGAGATTAAAGCCATTGTTTGTAAAGTCTTGGACCGCTCCCTATGCTCCAGTCCTACCGGAGTGAGATAAACCCATTGCAACATTTCTCACTACAGCAACGTGGCAAATACACGCCAACATCCGGTAGGTGGCACACTTGGTTAACAAAATTCGCTTGATTATTTTTCCCCATAACTAATATTTTTTGGGAGATATAACTGTATTGTGTATCCATTTTGCTATACTATAAAAAATAAAATAGCTGAAGCCTGCATAATTTGGATTTTTAATAACCAATCACAAATCATTAAGTTAAACTTTTTGACCAATCACAGCGTTTATTTTCAACTGCGTTTCCGCATTTGAGACGAGTACATAGTAGATCTAGAAAGTTGTCGTCAGTCTTTTATTTCGTTAAAATCTAATGTTAGGATCAGAAAAGTGCAGTGCAGTGTTAAACTCTCTGTTGTTCGTTGATCATTGATGACTTGTTAGTATGAAACTCTAGCAGAAGTTAACGCACTAATCTGATTTTAAGATTGCATTGATACATTATTATTATTTTTTTATCTGGTAATATTCAATGGCGACGGAGCAATAAAGACAAGTGGACCAGGAACAATGGCAGTAACAAGACTGGTGAAGAAACTGGGAGTGGACCATGTAGCTTTTGCGTATGCCATGACCACACTGGGGTCGTGCATGATAAATAATATATTCAGCTTTTACTATGTGAAACTGTTTCTTAATAAGTACAAGATAAACGAAAGAGCTTTTCACCAATCTCAAGTGAGTTGGCTACGTGGAACTTGCATGTAATTATCTGGAACAATTAAAGTGATTCAGTGGTTTACTCATAACAACATGTCTACTTTATATTAAATGACTGATTCCATATTTGCTCTGTTTGCTAACTGTCTCACATTTTCTTTTAGGTGGTCTACATGATTTGGAATGCAGTGAATGATCCTCTTTTTGGATATATACAAGATAACTCCAGTGTCCCCTGTTGCTCTAAACGGCGGCTTTCTATTTTGTACGGTGCTCCTCTGTATTCCTTAGCTTTTCTTCTGGCCTGGTTCCCATGGCGCTCGTATAATCCTGGTGACTGGATGAGTGGGGTTCATCTGATGGTCGCGCTGTGTGCTTTTGATGCCCTCCTGACATTCGTGCTGTTGGCACAGTGTGCGTTGTTTGCTGAAATTTCAAATCATCATCAGAGTCGCCTTCGTCTTGTCAAATACAGTCAGGTAGCAGCCTTGGTTATTTTAATACTGCTTTGTGCATACACTCTGCTTAAGTATTACATTCGTTTGTTTTTGAAGGTTGCTTCCCTCATCGGCTCTTCCAGCATCCTCCTTTCTGGTGTGGTTTCCAGAAACATGGAGGACTTTGCTTCATTCCAGACTTTTACTGTTGTCATCGCTGTGCTGAGCTGTGGGTGCATGCTCTACACAGGCTTCTACTGTGACAGTTGCTTTGATAACAAAGTCACTGAGCCAAAGGACCAAGTGTCACATAATATAAGTAATTCTATCAGCCTAATGCAAAGTCAAATTTGGCAGATCCTTACCAATCGAGATTTTCAACTTTTTGTGCTCATGAACTTTTGCCAAGTTTTTATTTTGGCTTTTTTCAATAATTTTACCTTGATCTTCACTGAGCACTTAATTCCTCCGGATGTTTTGCCAACATTGGCAAAGAGTGTAATGTACGGAGCAGGATTTATCTGTCCACAGGTAAAATGATTTGCCTTGGTTTGTACTGAGAGGCATTTTATATATATAAAGGATATTTAAACCTTCATAAAAAATAACCCTGTTTCTTTTCCACTGCAGTTGTTGGTATTGTCCTGCCAAAGTCTGCTCCACAGTATTGGTTACTACAAAATCATTCTCATAACCTTCTATGTGGAAGCAGGGATGGGGATCGCCATGCTTGTTCTTGGGCCTCAGCACTATTATATACTTGCGCTATTTCTGACCATTAACATGTAAGTATCAGGACATTAAGTGTAAATATTTATAGCATTTATTTACAGTACACTCTTCTGTGTGCAGGATAATAATTCAAGCAGCATTCAGTCTCTTTGGTTTGCCTTTGGCTGACATAATTGACTCTGACCTTCACAAACACAAGCGCAAGTATTATACTGTTAAATTCATATTCATATTCATATTACTTTTACAAAAGTATTACTTGTAGTACAGTATTAACAAATTTTACTGTGATGTTTTTCAGTTGTCCGTTGTCCTCAATGGTATTTGGGACCAATGCGCTATTCACTAAACCTGCACAGTCCTTGGCACCAATGATTGTTCTTGCTATCTTAAACCAGTTTGGATATGAGCAGCTCAAAGAAGCAGTCAAGGAATCAAATCAAAGGTACACATTTATCACAACATTAAAGCTTTATTTCACTTTAAAGTCAGCATCACTTTGATAGAACTGAGCAACAAAAGAAACACACATTTATTAGTTAATATTCTTGACACTTGAATTTAATTTAAAATGTGTTATTCATTAACAGATTTTTTTTTTTTAAATACATTGTACTTAATTTCAGTGACCTGGAAAGCCTCCACAAGATCATGTTCTATCTGGTCTGTCTTGTACCACTGACAGTGGCAGTTCTTCAAATTCTGTTTTTTAAGCCTTTTTCTATACGTGACAGCCACACAGTTCAGTCAAAGTACATTGACAGCTAATTAAGAAGAGGACAAAACAGAGACAACAGGCATTTATGTGAACATATCTTTATACAGTGCAACCCTAACATCACATCACAACTATTTTCAATACATTCCAAACAGTTTGTAAAAGTTTCATAATAAGCCAAGTTGTGCTTGGCATTTCCGTGGTTTGTAATGGACCTCTCACTTCTGGAAACCTTCCACCAGCTCACTCGTTTGGTGAACCATGAGTGCGTCTTAAACGTTTTGATAAATATCATCATTTGTACTGTTTGACTCTGCACTTGCATACTGAAATAAAAACAACGAGGAGCAAAGTTTCCTATGATTTTTGATATTTGCTTTTATGTTTTCTGCAAGGAACATTTCACCACAAATTTGTGCAAGTCTGTGTTTACCTGATTATGCAGTGTCTTTGTTGTTGCAATCTGTGTATTTTTCAAACCTCTTCTCTTGTATAGCTCTTGCAACACATCATGAAAATGAACTGGTTCAGTCACTGTCGTCTGAGAGAAACAAAAATACTGTGAATCAATATGTTATTATTATTATTTTTTCCCCAAATGGTACTGTTAAAGATGATCGTGTCGCTTTCGGGACTCTAATCCCCTTTGAAAGCCCCCCATGGACAGGTGTTGGAAATTAGCACTTGTGCTAAAAACACTTAAAACAATCTGGTCTAATCCAGTGCTATGTACTATGTCCATATTAAATTAATCAGTAAATAAATAAAAAATATAATTCTGTTATTTCCTTATGCTGTTCTAATTTTTTCATATTTTGAACCTGTAATTATTATATTATTTAAATGCACTGTAAAGCTCAAAAACCTCAGTTGAAGTGTTCTTTCTGCAGATCTGATGGCAGCCTCGCTGCAAAAGAAAAGAAAATCAGATAGACTATTAGGATTTATTGAATTCATATTTAACATTATCAACAAATACCTTTTTCACAATGATAAGTGAAACAATAGCCACGCTATAAATGGCCAACAATATACAAGATAGCCACAGAAGTATGTGCCGCATCTTTATCTTAAATGGCTCTGAAAACACACAATTTAAAAAATAAGTAATAGTAACAGAATTATAGTCTTCTAAACTGTCTTACCTTTTACAACAACAGTTGTGCCTTCTGCAATGTATTGTGTGGCTGGATTGTGTGAAGATATCACAGCACAATAGTAGACTCCACTGTCTGACAAGTTTAGGAACTTGATATTTAATGACGCACCATTCAGACTGTAGTTGGGCATTTCAGTGTTTAATTCAAAATGATTGTTTTCTTTAAATACAAACCACTTGTACTCCAAATCCAAACAATCATTACTAACTATGCATGGTATGTCAACAGATCGCTCCATATTCCTGTATATAATTTCTTGGGGTTGTTTTAAGCACCCCTTTTCTTCAGCCATGCTTTCTGATAAAATAGGCAAAACATACAAGTCAGGAGTTTATCAAAAAAAACAACAATGCAATACAACAAAATAATATATTAGCTGAATAAATTACTTACTCACACTAGAGAGATATGTGAAAAGGAGAACAAAGACTAACATTTGCTTCATGTTTGTAGCTTGACAGCCAAATTGGAACTGATGCTTTGAATTTACAACATGGAAACTTCCTCAACACTTACTTCCCCATTTTTCCCAAGTAATGACTCAAAACAGTGGGTCATAGGTGCGGTTGCAGCTGTCATACCTTATTGTTTGGTTTTTAGTGTTGTTGAAGATAAATCTTGATTTGTCCCACAATGGGGAATTAAAGTGTTGTAACCAGAATCTTCCAGCCCAAAAATGCAATTTATTTACGAATGTACATAATCCTAAAGATCACACATGGCTCTCAGTACAGGGGGTTGTCACTCAGAGTTTGAGACCAATCCCATCCTGCGGTTCTGTTTACGCCCGCCCCCTTCCACGTCGACCAGCACTCGCCATATTTTCAATCGTGGAGGGACCGCATCAGGCTGCCTCTGGGTTAAACGGGGACAGAATACGAGGCAGGACAACATACTAATAGAAACTAAAGCCACCTTGTGTATCGGGTTGTTCCTCTCATCAAAATGAACATCTTCAGACTCACAGGAGACTTGTCTCATTTGGCTGCCATCATCATCCTGCTGATGAAAATATGGAAAAGCAGGTCATGTGCAGGTAACAACAGGCTCTTTCATTTCCTCTAAAGTGCTTAAGCAGTATACTTGGTTTTAAAAGGTTTATGTGTCCCGAGGGCTCAGTTACATTTATCTAGTATTTGTTAGGCGCTATTAGTAAAAACTAAAGTCAGATTCATTCATTTCAGACAGTGGCTAAGCTAACAGCTTTAGCCTCAGCAGAATTCGCCCAGTGTTAGAGAAACTATTACCATGTGCTTTGAATGCGCTGCTTTATTCTTTTTGTCCATCTTAAAGACATGTGTATTTGCAGATTCATGTCGTTTATGTCTCAGGGTACCATGTTTTATCCTTTGACTGTATATAATATTCATACCAACCAACTAACTAGCCTCCTTCATCCGCCGTTGCTGAGCTGCTTCTGTGATTTTAGAATGAGAGGCCTGTCCCAGAATGCACGCAAAGAAATTAATGCATTGACTGTTTTCGATTGTGTAATTATGTGTGTTTCTTTGGTTTGCATTTTAGGAGATATGCAAATATTTATTTTCATCTTTGGTTTGGTGCTCGATGTTTTGGGTCTGGCGTCTGACGTGGCGTTCTAGAACACGCTACGGAAGTGCTAGCGCCTCTTGCTATATATATATATATATATATATATATATATATATATATATATATATATATATATATATATATATATATATATATATATATATATATATATATATATATAATCAACCTCTTATAACTATATTATATATCTATTAACCCCCCATATCTGTGGCTAACTTTAGTTTATAGTATTTATGTTTATAGTTGTTTTTTTCAGATGAAACTTTATTGTTCAAATATATTTATTTACGCTTGTCTATATTTAGAATGTTTGTGGAATAATTGCTGAAAAAAGAAAATGTTATAATTAGTGTAACGCAGCAGTACTTTTTTAGAAGAGATTATGTAGTGGTCTATTGCATTCCTTGGTCGATTGCATATTCGGACTTATTAATGTATAAGTCACGTGACAACAAATAAGCATTTAAAACTTGGCCAAGGGTATTGTGTACACAGCCACATGGCAAATATATTATTTTTTAAAAGGTGTTAATGTTACTTAACTTCCAGCAGGTGTCATTGTCTGCCAATAAATGTAAATGTTTAGGGATATTTTATCATTTAAAAAAAAATGTATTATCTGTGTATATATTTAAAATGTTTATAATTTAATTTTTTTGCCAAAGGTATATCAGGAAAGAGCCAGATCCTCTTTGCAATTGTGTTCACCACACGTTACCTGGACCTCCTCACCTCGTTTATCTCCCTGTATAACACTTGCATGAAGGTAAGGCATATATGTTTTTCCTATACAAGCATTTGACTTTAAGGATGCTCATAAATATTTTTTTTCCACACCAAAGATGATCTACATTGGCTGCGCGTATGCTACTGTGTACTTGATCTATGTGAAGTTCAGAGCAACTTATGATGGAAACCATGACAGCTTCAGAGTTGAGTTCCTGGTTGTTCCTGTTGGGGGACTTGCTGTTCTGATCAACCATGACTTCTCACTCTTGGAGGTAAAGTACTGCAAATTGTTTGTAGATTTTGTTATCCTTTTGCCTTTCTCGCAACAAATGTTCGATGATCTGCCCGATTGGTGTTTTGAATACATGTGGCTTAAGCATGTTTGAATTCATGCCCAATTCAACCCATAAAATTTATCCAAGTTGAGTAATGACACAGACAGTAAGGTTGATTTTCTTGTTAGTATCCCTTTGTTGTTGGTTTTTAACAATCCTTTCAAAACAATAATGTAACTCTTCATAAAACATGTTATCAAACCACCATAGTCTTGTGTAACGCCAGAGATTTTTTTATGTGAAAAGTACAATTTAAATCTACTCTCACTCTCACAATTTCACATTTACTCATGTTCCTGTTTTGATGGGTTTTTTTTAGATTCTGTGGACTTTTTCCATCTACCTGGAGTCGGTGGCCATCCTCCCCCAGCTCTTCATGATCAGTAAGACCGGCGAGGCAGAGACCATCACCACACACTACCTGTTCTGCTTGGGCTTGTACCGAGCACTC